ATCTCATATCTTCACTGTCAACGTACGACCGCCTGTGTATCAGTGCTTATTTGTTCTAAGACGACAAGAACAGATCATTCATCACTTCATCTTTCTCAGTGTCATCCTTTTGCAATTTGAGCAGGAGTCAATCCCAGCTGTAGGGGTCAGTGTTAGCACACCGACCCCCCCCCACAGAGCAGCTAGAGCAGGGGCGTCAAAGAAGTTACAAATATTGTTCATTGTTGTGTAATAAAAAAAAACCTTGTACTTTATCAGGTTCAGAAACTCAGCTGCATGGACTTTACTAAATGTTTTTTAAGCTCCTGTGGACCAAACCAAACGACTTGGTGGGCCACGTTTGGCCCCCGGGCCTCGAGCTTGACGCAAGATCGAAAATTGATCAAACAAAGATCTAGTGGCACAAAACAGGTTTTTTCAATTTCTTTGTTTTGCTTTTTGTCAACAGACACAGCAGTAACTGGTTTCATTTGTTCATTTCATCACAAACTAAATCACGTGTTTATTTCCTGTTCCTTGAAGGTAACGCCCAAAAAAGAAAAAAAAAAAGAAAAGAATACTCAATCAAAAAAAAAAAATCTAAATGCTCAGCTGTGACAGACATGCTGTGCTAAAATGAAGACATTTGTAGTAGATTCAATGCAGTACTTTTCTGCTGAGCTTTGCAAAAACGACTTTCAGCGGTCGCGTGTTTCTTTTCCCTGATCCTCAATCGTGGGCTGCAGCCTGGCAGATGGACTGAGTGGTGGGGGGCCCTGGCCCTTTAACACAGTGGGCAGCTGGTCTGCAGCTGGACCGGCGCAGGGTCGGCCACAACCAACGACCGGACTCCTGGGCCGGTCAGAGACTTAGCAGACCGGGCCTGTGGTGGTTGTGTTGGGCGACCCACTGCAGGCTGAGGGGGGGTCAGCGGGGGTCAGAGCTGTAAACCTGGCCGAGCCACTCAGTCTCCCAGGTCCAGACTCTGTGCCAGGAAGTGTGTGTGCCAGCCTGGCCTTTCTGTTAGCGTGCTAAATGAGGATGGGTGGATCCTCCGAGGCCGAGAGATTTAACTGACGCGCTCAACTTTTCTGTAAATAACCTGAAAGTCCAATCAATCTGAGCTCGTTTGGCAGCAGCACCAGGACTCGTCCTTGTGTCCGGGAGTTTCCTGTCTCGTTTTCTTGTTTTCGTTTTTGTCTGTGAAACGTGTGTCACCCTGAGGAACCACAGACACGATCAGATCTCACAGAGTAGACATAGAGTGAGCAGAACCTTCAGAACCTTCAGAACCTTCAGGTCAGAGTGAGGAGGAGCAGAACAGTTGAAGTCTAACTGGACATCAAACATCACAGACACAGAAGAACCCTAACATCACACACTCTCTCACACACACCACCACAATGAGCCAACAAGGTCAGAGTGA